CCAACACCCAAGAAAAAGGTAATCTCCTCAATGATTAATTTGCATCAGTTTCCCATCAGCCCAAGGGGATCACCCTGCCTGACAGGACACAGGATTATCAGGGTAAGGGCAAACATATGCCTATAACTGGTGAAGATCTTGTGAGGGAACACCCTGAGAGGCTGGATATCCACAAGTCAGCTAGCCCAAATGCAATGCACCCAAGAGTGCTAAAACAGTTGGCTGACATCATAGCGTGACCAATGGCAAGGATATTTGAGAGCTCGTGGCACTCGGAAGAGGTTCCAGAAGATTGGAAGAGGGTCAATGTGGTGCCTATCTTCAAGGAAGGAAAGAAGGAAGATCCATGGAACTACAGGCCAATCAATTTGATCTCAATCCCTGGAAAGATCTTGGAAAAAAATAATCAAACAAACAATCAACAACAAACTAATGGAAGGCAACATTCTGAGAGAGAGCCAACATGGCTTCATTGCAGGTAAGTCTTGCCAAACCAACCTGATTTCATTCTATGACCAAATGACACATCAGCTGGACAAAGGAGAAGAGGTTGATGTCATATATTTGGATTTCGGAAAAGCCTTTGACTTGGTCTCCCATGAGGTCCTCATGACAAAATTGGGGAACTGAGAACTGCAGTCTTGACAGTCTTATGGTCCAATGGGTGGGGAACAGCTCTGTGGTAGGACCCAGAGAGTGAAAGTCAATGGAACCGAGTCAACATGGTGCATGGTGACCAGTAGGCCTGTGCGAAGCAGCAAGAATTCAATTTGGATTCAGTTGATTCAGAGGGACAGTAATTTAATTTGGTGATTCAGATCACTGTCCCAATTTGATTCAGATTCAGAGATTCAACGCCAATTCAGAGATTTGGCCATATACTATAATGGGGAATCACTAAAATACCTATAACTTTGTCATTTTTTTGCAGATTCGGATGAAAACAGCAGGGATGGTAGCCCCTTCTGAGGGCATGAAGCCTGCCAGGTTTCAGGGAGAGTGGTGCAGGGGTTTCTGTGAAAGTGCACCTCAAGTTCCTCAAAGCAAATAAAAAAGGCAAATAGGTGCTGAGTGAGGAGGGTGGCATTCACTCTGTATGCATGTGGAGCTTGTGTTACCCCAGCAGCAGGAGGTTCAACTTCAAGAACACCACTTGCTCCACCAAACCAGGATCCAAACAGGTGTGGTGGGGTGTCACAACATCCCCACCAATGCTGAACACCCTCTCGCTTGGAACACTGGTTGATGGAAAGGACAGGTGTTGCTGGGCAACCATGGCCAGATCCTGCCACACCTGGCTGCGGGTTGCCCAATAGGCCAAGGTGTTGCAGTGCAGTGGCTCCACATCCTTAGTGAGCTAGGTAGCCACCAAGGCCTCCGCGCTACCTGCCTGATGATGGGGTCTTGTGCCTATGGATCCCAACACTGAAGCCATGCCCTTGGCCCACATTGGCAGCAGCTGTGGTGGAGGAGGTTGGCTTGTGGTTGGAGTGCTGGCACGGGAAAGTGGATCCCCCTCTTCCACGTCCCCCCACCTCTAACCTTCTACCTTCCTGATTCTGTTCACCAGCACCTCTGTCCGGTGATTGAGGGTTTTGCTGCTGCAAATGCTTCCCTTCACCTTTGGGTTGCACATGCCCACCAGCATGTGGACTGTACTGGACTGCAACTGATTCAGCCATTTTTTTGATGCCCTCCTTCAGCTGCTTCACCGGTGTCTGCACCTCTGGGGAAAGCGGCTTGCCCCAGCCAGGAACACTGATCCCCTAAAACTTCTCCATTTCATTCTCAAGTTCCTTCACTATGGGGATCACCTGGTTAAGAAGGGCATTGCCAGCGCTGAGGCTCCTGGTGGCCTCGAGGAATGACTTGAGGACCACCAAGATCTGGGAAATGGTATCCCACTCCATTTTGTTAAGGGGGCCACTGATCCTAATCTCTCTGAACAAGGCTGTCTCATGGATGGCCTTTTGTTGCTCCACCAGCCTTTCCAGCATCAGATATGTGGAGTTCCACCAAGTCTCCACATCCTACGTAACTGTGTAGGATGCAGGATGTTCAGCTGTGCCTGTTTTGTCCCACAGCATCTTGTCCCCCTTGATGCTGCAATGGAAGTAGCCCACCACGTACCTGCATTTCAAAATAAGCTGGCTGGTAGTTATGCTACCATCACTGGGAGCCCTGTCTCACTCCAAGGCGTCCCTGACTACAAGGTGGAACTTGTGTGCTACACAGTGGATGCCAACAAAGTTAGCATCACGCATCACCTTGACCATATTGGCCCCATTGTCAGTGACCATGAATCCACAGGTGAGCTTGCCCTGCCCAACGAGCCACCCCTGCACCATGCGGTTCATAGCCACCATTATTTCCCTTCCCACATGGGACCCATCCATCACCTCTGCTTGAAGGAGAGCCCACTGATGCCCTGACTGATCAAATCAGTGCCCTGTGAGGGAGGAGGGAGAGGTAGACAGGATCTCCACCCCAGCTGCTCCAGAGGTGAAGTGCAAAGCTACCTGTGGACCTGCCTTCCACAGCTCCTCCCCTCAAGTGCTCTCTGCATGCCTCATACAGGGAGGGCACTACCATCCTGATAAAGATGGTGTGTGTGGGCACTTGGTACACTGGAGCCATGAGCCACCTGAAGCCTGGACACTCAACAAAGGATAAGGGCTGGCCACCCAGAGCAAGCATCTCCCCAATGTTCTGGGTGACCTTGCTCACCCTTGGAATGCACCCTGCTTTGTCTCTGCTTTCCCCCCACTGGTCCAGGGTGGCCTGCCTTTCCTTCTTGGGGATGGGGGCTTTGGAGTGAGAGGGGGACTTATTTTTGGGCATGCTCCCACTGGTGCCAGGCTAAGGAGGAACAAGGACAAGGGGGTGCTGCCTTCTGAGATGAAGCAGCATTGCTATGGTGGCAAAGTGTTTCACATCCTTGCTCTGGCTGACCTGCCTTCAGCACTGCTGGCAGGTAGCATACCTGGGATCATCTGCCACCTCAAAATGATCCCACACTACACTACCCACCTGCTTCTGGGTTGAGGATGGGAATCCTGTTTTATCCACCTCCTAAACAGGCAGAGGCACAACAACAGGAGAAGCTGAGCCACCTGCCCCCACAACCTCCTGCATAGTGCCTTCCAGAGAAGGAGAGCTGCCTCTAGGGGAAATTTGATGGGTGTGGAGCACAAACAGATTCCCCCTCCTTCCCCAGAATTTCCTTCACTATGGCCCTCAGCTCCTCTGCTTCCAGATCCAGCTCCTCCTTTGGCACTGGAAGGCTCAGGCTGGGAACTGAAATTGGGGTGAAGAATGTCATGCTGCTGCTGGTTAGTGGTGGTGGTGCAAGTGCAGGCACTGCTACAACATCCTTGTTCCCACTAGCAGCGGTAGACTCTTCACTGCCAGGAAAGGGTGCATCTGTGTTTGGAGTGGGGGGAACTTGAAGCTCTCCCTCTGCCCCCTCTCTCTCTCCTGCCAGAAGGCCTGGCACCTGCCTTTTCAGCATGCTTCATAATGTGTGTGTGTGTGTGTGCGCGCGCGCTGTGCTTTTCTGCACAGTGATGATACACTGTCAGGGAAAATACAGATTTCTTTTTGTGGGTGGAAAGAATCACAACATACTAACAAGAACAAATAAGAGGATTTGGGGGGGAAGAATAAGTTGAAAGGAATGAATAAGGATAACAATAGGGATTGTAGGCAAGAGTAAGTAGGAAAGGATTGGATACAACTTGCATGAAGAGATACTAGCTACCAAGAGACTAGGTAGCAAGACAGAGCCTTTTAGATGCTGCTGGTCCAAGAGAGAGAGGGCTCAAAAAAGGCGCAGATCACTTCAGACACAGCTTGATATGGTGTTTCTATACACTTGATATGTTGTTAAAATACACTTGAGAGACACAAGCAAGGGGGAAGCCAAAACCTTTACAGTCTGCACCAGTCTGACAGTGGAGTAAAATTCCTTCCTGATCCCAAATACAGTATCAGTCTGACCTTGCACAGAGATCCTCTAACCTGGAACCTCCGGGTTTAAGTTGCACCAGGGGCTTTGGCATACCCCAGTCAAAATCCTCAGCCTTGGCTGTAGCCAACATCCAATGCTTCTGAGGAAGGTAGGGGGGAAAAAAACCCTGATTCCTGTAACAACAGTAGGGGAAAGAATTCTTCCTGGCCCCATGTGGCAACCAGCAAAGCCTAGAAGCATGGGAAAAGCTGAAATACTTTCCAAGCTCTCTGCAATCTGGAGACAGCAACCAACTTCACACATCACACCCTCTAACTGAAGAGTCAGAACTCCCTTTTCTGTAATCCTGTCCTGTCCATAAACTTATCTTAACTCCTTTAATCTTGTCTTTTACTGAATGTCATTCAATTAATTTTAGAACATTTTTCCAGTTTATCAAGGTCACTTTGAACCCTAATTCTATTCTTCATCGTCTGGAATTCCAGCTGCTGAGATCTGTATATTTGCCAAGTGCGAGCTCAGTCCCATCTTCCAACCAATTAAAGAAGATATTAAACAATTTCCCCAGGATAGACCCTTAGGCGATCCCATGTGATTCATCCTCCAAACTAGACATTAAGCCACTGAGGAGTAGTGTGCATTTAGGAAACAGCTTATTGAAAGCAAGACCCTACTCCCTCAGCATCTTGGGTGCGCATAGACTGGTGTAACTGTGAAAAGTTTGCTGGGTTCTGTGTGGATATAGATGTCTGGCCATACTTCTGAGCCTGCTTAATGTAGCTATTTATGCCAATTACAGTTACATTCAATACTATTTAAGATTAACTTTACATCTGTGTGATTTTTTTCAAGTTTTTTTTCTTCTGTTTTTCCCTATTTGAAGATTTAACACGTAAAACAAAGGGTCTGATTCTTCTACACACAGGTGGAAAGTGGCCTGTGTTTAATTTTTTGGAGTACAGAACTTAAAACATAGTTCTACTTAAATTACTATTTAGGTTAATACCAACCTACTACAAAGTGTTCCTACCTCTGTCATCGGTGATTGTGCCAATCTGCTCTTTACTACTACAGGAACATTAATAAATTTGGCATTATCCAGGTAATGTTTATGTTGTCTTCTCCAATCCAGGCAGTCATACATTAAACATGCAATGCTTTCAAAAAGTGCAGTTCCAAACTCAAGCTATGAGAATAAAGAAGCATATGAAGGATCAAGTTTGTATACAAAGCAGAGTGGAACTCTATCTGAGAGTAGCAACTCTCAAAGCAAGATTTTGAATTGTTTCAAAACGTTGCAAGGGATTTTTTTCTCATTTATTCAAATTATTTTTAAAGGTTAGTGTGAAAACACCAAGGATTTCTTATCTTCCCTCTTTATTCCTATGATCATCACCACATCACATTTTACAATATACTGACTACAGACATATAACATTGTTCACAATGGTTGGACTTGCATGAAAAATGAAAGGGTTAATTGCTGTTTTCACATATGGAAATGTTCCCCAAGTTGGGCTAACTGCTATCACTTTTGGTCTACTAACAGGCAATAATAAGCTGTCTTCATTTTTTATGTTTGTATGAAACATAGTACTGATATAATATGTGGTCTTGTATTTTAGCAGTCTGACCTAAGTGACAAATTATCGGTTTGCTTATAGTCAGCTCTGGTGACAAAACCCTTCTCACTAGAAAATGGCTGAATACATATTGAAGGAGCCTATTAGCATACCTACCAGACAGATAGGAAATGAAACTCTGAGATCATTAACAGAGATAAGGGATATTTACATGGAATAGAATGTATATCCAGCAGTGCCTGAGTCGAAGGGGTCCTGGTTCCAGAGAACTGATAGAGAATTGACAAGGAAGATAGAGAACTAGTAATTTAAGGAGAGGCCACTGTGGGGAGAGAACAGGGAGGACACCTTGAATCTAGGGGAAACAAGGAGACCAGAGAATCACCCAAGAAAGTAGTGGACAGCGAGCTCCTTGTAACAGAGAACAACGGGAAGGTGCGGGAGGCAGGACAATTCATTCCTTGAACAGGTGCTATCTGCAGCAAACCCAGAACAGCACCCTGCTCCCATCTAGGCTGAATGGGGCAATCAGGGCAGCCAATCCCTTGAACAGGCAACAAGCACGACCTGCTCCAACTCTTAAAAAGCCAGGCCCAGCTGGCAGTGTCATTTTTTGGGCAAAAATGAAAGTTCTTGCTCCTGACCCTCCGTGTGCTTTCTTGCTGGTTCTCTGGTTTTAACTCCTGACTTTGGCTTCTAGTTCTGGTTTAACCTTTGGTTTTCTGCTCTTAATTCCAGTTCTACCTCCAGCTCTGGCTTTTGGTTTTTGATCCTTCTTACCTTGTCTCCAGCTCTGGCTTTTGACTCTGGTCTATCTTGACCTTGGGTATGGATCCCAGTTCCAGCTCTACAGTCAGACCCTTTTGTAAGCCCAGCTCCTGGGAAACCAACTTTGAATGCACCCATTCTTCATGTGCCTAACCATTAGATAAGACCACCCACATGCTGTTACCTAGGAGTTTTCCTGTCTTTACACAATAAATGCTTTTGGCTTTTTACTTTTAAGTTTGTCTGGTGATAAGATATATTTCAGGGCAGTTGACAACAAAAGACATTCTCTTTCTACGGGGATAGCAAACCTATTTTTTGTGGGGTGCGGGAGACACCAACCACATTTCTGGCCCCATGGGGAACCCTATTGGCCTGGATGGCATGTCTCCATGGGTCAGATCTGGCCCACAAACTGGATCCTGGTCATCCCTGGCCAATGGAGTTTAGAAACTCACAGAGGATGGACAAATTTAGTCAGAGCATCTTCAAAAAGGGGGGGGGGGGG